CTATACAAGACTCTGTATGAGAGGTCCAGCTATACAAGACTCTGTATGAGGGTCCAGCTATACAAGACTCTGTATGAGAGGTCCAGCTATACAAGACTGTGTATGATGGGTCCAGCTATACAAGACTCTGTATATACAAGACTCTGTATGAGAGGTCCAGCTATACAAGACTGTGTATGAGGGTCCAGCTATACAAGACTCTGTATGAGAGGTCCAGCTATACAAGACTCTGTATGAGGGTCCAGCAATACAAGACTCTGTATAGAGTCCTGCTATCCTAGCCTCTGTCCAGTTTTCAAAGATGAAATAAAAAGCAAGATATAACAAGAATCTTTATTTCAGAAAATATAAAATCGTATAATTTTGAGAAAAAAGAATCAAGTTAGATTATAGGCATTATAGAAACCCTCCGAAATGTACAGGAATATCGTGATTATTTTGTTTGGTTTATAGTCCGGAGTCCGGACAGGGTTTAGTAGTAGAAAATAGGACTTTTATGGGGGTGCTATAGGTCACTTTTTTGTATTTAGTCTCCATAGTCGCTATGTCGACTATGATTTTTGAGTGTGGGTGTATATTTTATGTGAGATGTGAGGTTATTAATGTCTGTGAGTGTGTGAGATGTGAGGTTATTAATGTCTGTGAGTGTGTGAGATGTGAGGTTATTAATGTCTGTGAGTGTGTGAGATGTGAGGTTATTAATGTCTGTGAGTGTGTGAGATGTGAGGTTATTAATGTCTGTGAGTGTGTGAGATGTGAGGTTATTAATGTCTGTGAGTGTGTGAGATGTGAGGTTATTAATGTCTGTGAGTGTGTGAGATGTGAGGTTATTAATGTCTGTGAGTGTGTGAGATGTGAGGTTATTAATGTCTGTGAGTGTGTGAGATGTGAGGTTATTAATGTCTGTGAGTGTGTGAGATGTGAGGTTATTAATGTGTGAGTGTGTGAGATGTGAGGTTATTAATATCTGTGAGTGTGTGAGATGTGAGGTTATTAATGTCTGTGAGTGTGTGAGATGTGAGGTTATTAATGTCTGTGAGTGTGTTGGATGTGAGGTTATTAATGTCTGTGAGTGTGTGAGTCTGGCGTCTGCGTCCGACATATACTTCTCAATACTCGAGAATTGGTCTGACATATGTGATATACTGAGTTGTGAATGATTCCTTACACAAATTACTATAAGCAGTTCTTATGTTGGCCGGCCTCGCATATGCCGCTGATGATAACGTTTTGATGTGGGCTTCAGGAAGCAGTTTCGGTATGATATCCTAGATCCTTCTCTCTACTCTAGTCTTGAAGTATTTTATCTCTCATATGACACCTTGAGTTCGGCCTTCTCATACACCTTGTTTCATCATCTTCCACTTACTGGAGTTAAAGTCAAGTGTTCAGTTATTGGATAATTCTTTCAGTGGGCTTTCTTCTTGCGTCCTAATCCTCATAATTTATGTATCATCGGCAAACATATAGAGGAATGTGTGTACTCACCTAGTTGTGAGTACAACTACAACACACACACACACACACACACACACAGGAATGTGTGTGTGTGTGTATGTGTGTATTTACCTAGTTGTGCTTGCGGGGGTTGAGCTTCAGTTCTTTAGTTCCACCTCTCAACTGTCAACCAACTGGTGTATAGATTCTTGAGCCTACTGGGCTCTTTTATATCTACATTTGAAACTATGTAAGGACTCAACCTCCATCACATCACTGCCTAATGCATTTCATTTATTAACTACTCAGACACTGAAAAACGTCTTTCTAATGTCACTGTAAATTATTTGGGTACTCAGTTTTCATGTGTCCCCTTGTTCGAGTATCACCCGTGTTAAATAATATCTTTATCTACCCTGTCGGTTTCCCTGAGTACTTTGTATGTGATAATCATGTCTCCCAGAGCTCTTGTGTCTTACAGCGTCGTGAAGAGCAATTCACGCTGCCTTTCCTCGTAACTCATATCTTTTAGTTCTGGAAATTGTTTAGTTAAGTACCTTTAGGTAAGTACCTTTAGTTAAGTACCTTTGAACTTTCTCCATGTTCGTCTTCGCTGGACAAGGCATGGACCCGATGCTGAAGCTGCATGCTTCACGATTGGCCTTACAAATGTGATACACAAGGGTCTAAATGATTCCTGACATAAATTTCTAAAGGCATTTCTGATGTTAGCCAGCCTCGCATATGCTACTAATGATATCCTTCTGATGTGGGCTTAAAGAGACATGTTCGGTGTTATATCAACTCCTAGATCTTTCTCTCTGTTTCGTGGAGGATTTCGGTATCCAGTGTCTGGCCTCCTGTTCCCTCCACCAAGCTTCATTACTGTTCATTTACTTGAGTTAAACTTTAGTTGTCGTTTGTTGGACCTTTCCTACACTGTGTGCCGGTCATCTTGTAGTCTCCTGCTATCTTCCTCGGTCTTATTCTTCCACATCATTTTTTCATCATCAGCAAACATTGAGAGGATGGGAGATTCTCTCTTTTCCCCATGGGAGATCGTTTATCTATATCAGAACCAGGATTGGTACAAGGACTGAACCCTGTGGGACTCTACTAGTGACGTCTGCCCAGTCTGAGACCTCACCCCCCACGAAGTGACTTGCTGTCTTCTATTGCTTAGTGACTGGGGGCAGCGAGGGCTGCCCCCATTTTGAATTTTGTATGAGGTAATCATGTCTCCACGAGATCTTCTGTCTTCCAGCGACGCGAGGGGCAGTTTACTCAGCCTTTTCTCGAAACTCATGCCTCTTAGTTCTGAGACTAGCCTAGTGGCATACTTGTGAACTTTTTCCAGCCTCGCCTTGTGCTTGACAAGATACGGGCTCCATGCTGGGGCCGCATACTCCAGGATTGGTATTACATATGTGGTATACAAGGTTCTGAAAGATTCCTTACACAGGTGTTTGTAGACAGTTTTGATATTAGTCAGCCTCGCATACGCCGCAGACGTTATTCTTTTTATGTGGGCTTCAGGAGACAGGTTTTGCGTGATATCAACTCCTAGATCTTTCTCTGCCCGTTTCGTGAAGGACTTCATCTCCCATTCGGTGTCTAGTGTCTGGCCTCCTATCTCCTCCGCCTAGTTTTCTTACCTTACATTTACTAGGGTTGAACTTTAGTAGCCATTTGATGGACCATTCCTTCAGTTTGTCTAGGTCATCTTGTAACATCATATTATCTTCCTTTGTCTTAATCCTCCTCATAATTTTTGCTAGCTAGAGAGAGTGTGTGTGAGTGTGTGTGTGTGTGTGTGTGTGTGTGTGTGTGTGTGTGTGTGTGTACACGTGCGTGTGTGCTGACATACAAATCCAAGCCAAACCTTGGCCTTGGCAGGCCAAGGTTTCCACTTGAGGGCCCCTCACGTTCCTCCTCCTCACTCATACCGAAATTATTTGCTGAACATCCTGATAACAATGGCAAGGTCACCCACTTTGGCAAGGTCATGCACTCTGGTAAGGTCACTCTCTCTGGCAAGGTCACGCACTCTGGCAAGGTCACGCTCTCTGGCAAGGTAACGCTCTCTGGCAAGGTCACGCTTTCTGGCAAGGTCACTCTTTCTGGCAAGGTCACACACTCTGGCAAGGTCACACGCTTTGGCAAGGTCACACGCTCTGGCAAGGTCACACGCTCTGGCAAGGTTGTAACAGACTGTCACCATCAGTGACGTCACGAATCAGATCTAACTTTTGAGGCGGAGTGACCGGCGGTCATAGGTCAGCAGGGTTGACATGTCTAATATTTCTCAAAGTTTTAATAACCATTTTTGTGATCGGGAACAGCTCTGCCGTTAGATGTTTGTAATTTAATTCAGTAAAATAATTCAACCAGTCTGGATCAATTCAGTATAAACAGAGGATAATTGTTATAACTTAACCGTGCTAAAGTAACTGGGTAAGCGATGCGGAACAATACAAGGTTCTAGTCTGGGCTAGGCCAGACGAGGACAAGTCAGTGTGAATACGGGAGCAGCTGGGAAGGTCACATCTACCTCTCCCCAGGTCATCTAGCTGGTAGCCCAAGGTATAGTTGCTATTGTTAAGTATAGAAATAGTCTTCTCATTTGCCATTCAGGTCAAGTAGGGAGTGTTAAAGTGATAGGGAGTGAACACATTTAGATTTTGTTTTAGTTTTCTTTTAATAAATTAAATTTGTTATTAATTTGCATTTTATTGTTTCCATTTGGTTATGTGTAAACTTGTCCTGGTCACGTGGTCCACACGAGGCAGAGTTGTATTGGGCGCCGATTCTAACATCGAATCGGAATCATCATTACCGTGTAATTTATTCCACACTCAAGGTCATCGTTTATAGTGGGGATCAAGCCCCTAGGTTGATTAATTAGCGTGATCGATCCAGACCTCGATCATTGCTCTTGTATTACTGGTCTGGTGGTGGCAGCAGAGGTGACTCTAGGGTTTTGTTCAGAGCTTAGGTCACGTCATACTGGGTGTAGAATCCTAAGTCGGTCAATCGTCTTAGGACCACGTGGCGTGGAGTTGGCTTTGGTAAAAGTTTTGGAGTCCCTTGGTTTAGAAATAAAAGTAAGAATACGGGTAGAGGGCAAGGTCACGCACTCTGGTAAGGTCAAGCTCTCTGGCAAGGTCATTCTCTCTGGCAAGGTCACGCACTCAGGCAAGGTCACGCACTCTGGCAAGGTCACTCTCTCTGGCAAGGTCACACACTCTGGCAAGGTCACTCTCTGGCAAGGTCACGCACTCTGGCAAGGTCACACGCTCTGGCAAGGTCACGCACTCTGGCAAGGTCACGTTCCCTGGTAAGGTCACGTTCCCTGGTAAGGTCACGCTCCCTGGTAAGGTCACGCACTCTGGTAAGGTCACGCTCCCTGGTAAGGTCACGCTCTCTGGTAAGGTCACGCTCTCTAAGGTCACGCTCTCTGGTAAGGTCACGCACTCTGGCACGGTCACTCTCTCTGGCAAGGTCACTCTCTCTGGCAAGGTCACGCTCTCTGGTAAGGTCACGCACTCTCAGGTCACGCTCTCTGGTAAGGTCACGCTCTCTGGCAAGGTCGCTCTCTGGCAAGGTCACTCTCTCTGGCAAGGTCACGCTCTCTGGTAAGGTCACGCACTCTGGCAAGGTCACTCTCTCTGGCAAGGTCACGCTCTCTGGTAAGGTCACGCACTCTGGCAAGGTCACTCTCTCTGGCCAGGTCACTCTCTCTGGCAAGGTCACTCTCTCTGGCAAGGTCACGCTCTCTGGCAAGGTCACTCTCTCTGGCAAGGTCACTCTCTCTGGCAAGGTCACTCTTTCTGGCAAGGTCAAACGCTCTGGCAAAGTCACGCTCTCTGGCTAGATCACTTCATCTGGTAAGGTCACGCTCTCTGGCCAGAATGATGGAGAAGTCGCCTCCTTATGCATTCTCCCCATTGTTAATCTGGACTTTCCCAGCTGTTTTTGAACGCCACCAAATTCGTTATCTGAAAAAATAAATAAATAAATACATTAAAGTTGCAAGCTATTTCTTGTATTATCATAGTCTTCTCATATGCACAATGAAATCACGTTAACGTGATATATCTCATAAAATCAGTAGGAGCCATGAGCAGGATTCGAACTCGCTCGCTTGGTATTCCCAAGCTAACACCCTTCACCCCGACACCACGACACGATAAAAGCAATGTAACCTGAGATTCCACTGAATCCAGTAGGGGTCCTGAGGCTCCCAACCCACGTCCAGAGATGCGGTTTGACACAATGATTATGGGATTACCCTGTGGGTCAGTGGAATTCCAGGTTGCATTGTTTTTACCGTGTCGTGGGTTAGTGGTCTAGGGCACTAATTTGGGAGTAGCAAGTGAGCGGATTCGAATCCTCCTCAAGGCTCTTAGAAATCTTTGTCTCTCTCTCTCTCGCTATCTCATATATATATATATATATATATATATATATATATATATATATATATATATATATATATATATATATATATATATATGAGAGTGTGGTAGGAGAAGAAAATATTAAAGTATGCAGTGAGAATCCACTAGGTCTTCTCTGAATACTCCTTATTTTCTTCTCCGAGGCTATGGGTCCCCACATTTGCACCAGAGGTGGTACCCTCACAACTTATATATATATATATATATATATATATATATATATATATATATATATATATATATATATATATATATATATATATATAAATTATTTATTTATATTGGGAGTTAATTTAATCACATTCGATATTTGTAATTAAAGTCATGAAGTTATAATCAGACTGTTGAGAAATGTTAAACAAGCATAGGTATACGTCTTTAACTTTATCTTACCATCTAAATTTTCAAACGGCAACAACATCCGGTCTCTTGTGAACCCTCCCAAGACGTCTTCAATACCAGAGAAATGGCACTTGGTGGTAATGGCCACTCTATGGTAAAGTGAGGGAGATAGTCAGGACTAGTCTGGGGTAGTGTGAGGGCCAGGGCGCTCTCTGGGTACCTCCCCCATGGTGTCAGGACTAGTCTGGGGTAGTGTGAGGGGCAGGGCGCTCTCTGGGTCCCTTCCCCCATGGCGTCAGGACTAGTCTGGGGTTGTATGAGGGGCAGGGCGCTCTCTGGGTACCTTCCCCATGGTGTCAGGACTAGTCTGGGGTAGTGTGAGGGGCAGGGCGCTCTCTGGGTCCCTTCCCCCATGGCGTCAGGACTAGTCTGGGGTTGTATGAGGGGCAGGGCGCTCTCTGGGTACCTCCCCCATGGTGTCAGGACTAGTCTGGGGTTGTATGAGGGGCAGGGCGCTCTCTCGGTACCTTCCCCCATGGCGTCAGGACTAGTCTGGGGTAGTGTGAGGGGCAGGGCGCTCTCTGGGTACCTCCCCCATGGTGTCAGGACTAGTCTGGGGTTGTATGAGGGGCAGGGCGCTCTCTCGGTACCTTCCCCCATGGCGTCAGGACTAGTCTGGGGTAGTGTGAGGGGCAGGGCGCTCTCTGGGTCCCTTCCCCATGGTGTTAGGACTAGTCTGGGGTTGTATGAGGGGCAGGGCGCTCTCTGGGTACCTTCCCCATGATGTTAGGACTAGTCTGGGGTTGTATGAGGGGCAGGGCGCTCTCTGGGTACCTTCCCCATGGTGTCAGGACTGGTCTAGGGTGTGATGGAGGGGGTACCTAACGGTGCGTCCCTTGGGTATTTCTCTTTCTGGGTCAGGAGAGGCTGGGGGTAGAGTGGGTGAGGGTTGGTAGTGTCAGCATCTAGGTGTCAGGAGAGGCTGACGGAGGAGAGAGATGCTCCCCCGCGGGAACACCACTCAGAGGTCCCCGTCACCTCATCTGGCGCCATGGTAAAGGTGGCGGGAACACTTGACAACTCCACGTGAAGGGTCTGGAAAACTAACAATGAAATTATATTAGTCTTCAATTTTTTTAGGAGAAAAATCAATATGAAATATTAACTCGTAGTAATATAAGTTATTAGTGCACTTATGCACACAGTAACAGAGTTAAGAATAATAACAGATAAAAGAGAGGGAGAAAGAGAGAGAGAAGAGATGATGATAGGACTCCTGAGAACTATGCTACAATTGCCGGTTATACCTTATGGATGCACCGAGACAGCCCGGGTCATGAAGGGGTGATGCAGTGTGCATCAGCAAATCTGTGCATGCCCAACCCATTGATGAGCTCATCCCTGATCATCTTGAAATTATGTTCTTCAAAATTTGCATAAATCCAGGTACCTCAATACTCTTATATGCAATGCACAGGGTGCTCAATACTCAATGGCAGGGTGCATGCATTCCTAGTCAACTTCTTGATGCACAACTTAGGAGCCGGTCGGCCGAGCGGACAGCACGCTGGACTTGTGATCCTGTGGTCCTGGGTTCGATCCCAGGCGCCGGCGAGAAACAACGGGCAGAGTTTCTTTCACCCTATGCCCCTGTTACCTAGCAGTAAAATAGGTACCTGGGTGTTAGTCAGCTGTCACGGGCTGCTTCCTGGGGGTGGAGGCCTGGTCGAGGACCGGGCCGCGGGGACACTAAAAAGCCCTGAAATCATCTCAAGATAATCTCAAGATAACCTAGACTCCCTGCTAATGCAGCACAACTCTCAGAACATTATAATTGTCGGTGACCTCAACCAATATCTCATTCAGAAGGATTTTGATGAACTCTTAGCAGTCTTCAACTTTGAATATTTTGTGAGCTTTCCCACCCACATATCAGGTTCGTCTCTTGATCCTGTCGTAACTGACATTCCTGCAACCATAGTTCACTCCAGACCTCTGGGATATGTTGGTTCTTCAGACCACCAGGCTGTCTTTACTACACTGGCTGTCCTGACAGATCGAGGTGAAGAATCTGTTCGAACTGACTATGGGACAGAGGGAACTAGCCAGCCCTCCGCTCAGAGTTAGCAACAACTGATTGGAATGCCTTGCTCCAGGGGGACGTGAACAGCCACCCAAACGCTTTCATCAGTCGTATAATGGACCTCCAGCATAGGCATATCCCTCACTGGCAGTATGTGACCAAGCCCAGTGATCTGCCTTGGTTTGGATATCATTACCGGATGGCAGCTGAAGCCAAAAACAGGGCCTGGAGGAGATTTAAACGACATCCCTCGGCTCATAAAAGAATCATTCATTGACAATCTTGCTGAATAACGAAAGAAGTTCAAAAGTGGGCTATATCCAGATGGGAATCCGAAACTCAAAGAAAACTTACATCTGGAATGGTTGTATCCAAGGTGTGGTGGTCCCCTGTTAAAGGATCAGTAGGGATAATCATCTGAAGACACAATCCTGCCTCTAAGCCGGGAGGATGAAACTGTTGCAACCAACAATCAGGAGATGGCTGATCTACTGGCAAACCACTTTGGTGCCAAGATGCAAGTCTCTAATGCTGAACGTCAGCCTCCACATCTTGCTCTAGGCACTGTGTCTAGGATGACTGAAGTGGTTATACAGCAGGCTGAAGTTCTCCATCTCCTTAACACGCTAGACACCAGCAAAGCTGTGAGGCCAGATAAAGTTAGTCCACGACTACTACCCAGCTGCGCTGACCTGTTGGCTCCACCTCTCACGTGCCTCTTCCAACATTGCCTAGCTCGAGGAATTTGGCCCTCCTTATGGAAGAAGGCAGACGTTGTTCCAGTACACAAAAAGAAGAGCCGCTCAGTGGTTGGTAACTATTGACCAGTGTCATTGCTCTCCACTATTGGCAAAAACCTATAATGATTAATCATTCAGCAAATTATATAATTTTTTATCATCATTGGCTAATATGTGATCGACAGTAGTAGTAGGCATCCATCAGTCTCAGGAGACTGTGGAGTTGCGCTCTGGTTGTCGGTCTGGAGTGGCCTCTCCAGGGTGCATAGCAAGGATAGGTTGATTCGGGGAAGAAGCTGTTACCCAGGCAGCAGGTCCCCCCTCTCCACGGCGCTGAAAGTCTCCAATGGAAAGGCATACACCAATACGATTGGTTCCAGCGCCGTCGCAGGAACTGTGAGTTCCGGGGATGACCTCGAAGGTGGTGAAGAAGGGCACAGGGACCTCCAACCCCGAGACCGCCGTGGTCGGGGCTGGAGAAGAACCACCCCATCAAGGGTATGAACGACCCCAGCCTCCTGAAGCGGAGCCTGGGGGCCGCACGACCCTTGGGAGGTGGACGTCCCGATCCCGCACCTACGGGTTCCAGACAAGGATCGTCACAGCCCCTTTTCACCAGAAATATCGTTGAAATAATCATTCCACAGCCGAGGGCCAATTAAGACTACCTTCAAGAACGGACTTTAAGGGTCGTCCTCATCGGAGCAGAATCCGATAACCACTCAATTGGTGCCAGCGTTCCACAGAGTAAAGTTCTTAATTGGCCCTCTGCTGTGGAATGTTTATTTCAACGATCTACTTCATCTCATTCCTGAAGCTCTAGCCTATACTGATAACTGTACTTTAACTTTAACATACAGAAAGGAAGAAATGCCAACTGCTGCAAGAATCATTAATCACCAACTTTCAGCATTTCTACCCGGGGTGGGAGGTGGCAGGTCACATTTGGGGCTGAGAAGTCACAAGCGATGATGATAACTAGACTGCAAATGGCAAATCGGACAGGCTTCCAATTGGGTGGCAAAACTCTTGAGTTCGAAGATGAAATTGACATCTTGGGAATGAAGTTTGACTCTTCAATGACAATGAAGAGCCACGTGCATAGCCTAGCTCAAAAGGCCGCCAAGAAACTTACAGCTCTACGGCGCATCTCACACCTTGACAACAAGGGCTGCCAAACTTTATATGAAGCACAAGTTCGCTCTCATCTATAGTATGCACCCCTTTCCAGGATCGCCTGCCCCCCATCATTCATCAAACTGCTGGACATAGTGGAGAGCCGGGCAAGAAGGCTCTAGTATTGACCAAGTCTGGTGGGAACGGTCTGAACATCAGAGCCTGAGAGAGAGAGAGGGAGAGAGGGAGAGAGAGAGAGAGAGAGAGAGAGAGAGAGAGAGAGAGAGAGAGAGAGAGAGAGAGAGAGAGAGAGAGAGAGAGAGAGAGAGAGAGAGAGAGGTTCTGGGTCTTGAAGTAAACAACGTCTTCTCTAACGGTTTCGTTGAAGACATCATAAAAAGAAAGTTAAAACGCCAAACAACCTCTGAAGAGTCAACCAACACAACACTTGTACCCCCAATTAAACTATTCTACAGGAACTTCTTTTCGACGACTCATAAAATGGAGGAAAGGGTCCTGAAAGATATTGTTGATAAGAACGTCATCCCTACAGACAAAAATCAGAAAATTCAAATGGTAATTTATTATGAAACCAAAAAAACGGCCAATTACTCATGAAAAACTCATCAGACACCAAGCAGAACGCTTTGAAGGAGACCAACGTCGTCTAAGCCTTTAAATGCCCACTTGGGGACTGTAAGCCCCAAAGAACTCAGTATATAGGCAAGACAACAACATCTCTTTTCAGGCGACTAACAATGCATAAGCAACAGGGAGCCATCAAGGAACACATAATCTCTTCCCACAACCAGACCATCACCAGAGAAATCTTAACAAACACCACAGAAATCATCGATAGATACAGCGATAGCAGGCGGCTTGACATCAGCGAGGCACTACACATCAAAAAGTCAACACCAGCAATCAACAGCCAATTAATGCACAACTAAATTCTACCCACTTCAAGACTCCGAACCAATATGGAAGCAGCAAGAGGAAGTATGGGCCGATAGGCCTTCTACAGTTACTTCCATTCATATGTTCACTCATCCAATTTATACCCATATATATATATATATATATATATATATATATATATATATATATATATATATATATATATATATATATATATATATATATATATATATATATATATATATATATATATATATATATATATATATATATATATATATATATATATATATATATATATATATATATATATATATATATATGTCGTACCTAATAGCCAGAACGCACTTCTCAGCCTACTATTCAACGCCCGATTTGCCTAATAAGCCAAGTTTTCATGAATTAATGTTTTTTCGTCTACCTAACCTACCTAACCTAACCTAACCTAGCTTTTTTGGCTACCTAACCTAACCTTACCTATAAATATAGGTTAGGTTAGGTTAGGTAGGGTTGGTTAGGTTCGGTCATATATCTACGTTAATTTTAACTCCAATAAAAAAAATTGACCTCATACATAATGAAATGGGTAGCTTTATCATTTCATAAGAAAAAAATTAGAAAAAATATATTAATTCAGGAAAACTTGGCTTATAAGGCAAATCGGGCCTTGAATAGTAGGCCAAAAAGTGAGTTCTGGCTACTAGGTACGACATATATATATATATATATATAATTACTCGTTCTTCAAACTGCATATATTTAATTATAAAATTATAATAACACTTTTGTTTTGCTATGACGTCGGAAACTTTAAACTTTATATAATGATAATTTCGCCTCAGAGTTTTGGCCAGGGTTTTAGACCAAACTTTGAGGGAGACGCAGCCATCTGTAAACTTAATAATATTATAGCGAATTTTATATATATTATACTCTATATACATAGACACACATTATATATGTGTGTGCAGTCCATATATATATATAATATATATATATATATATATATATATATATATATATATTTATATATATATATATATATATATATATATATATATATATATATATATATATATATATATATAAAGTTACAATATTGCACAACAGTTTAAGAAATTTTTTTGAAAGGGTTACTATGTCTCATTTCAATATTATATTCATATATTGTGTGTTCACTGAGGCTTTCTTTAATCTTTCATCCTTATTCTCTGACTGCTTAATCCCATTATTCTAAGCTAAATCTATACCTGCTTCTGGGTAGTTCTTTACCTTGAGGTATGTCGTCATATTCAGCTGTTGGCCTGTACTCTCCCATTGTTTCTCTTAATCAGTCTGGTGTTGACAACGGCTGTAAGACAGCCGAAACCTTCATCTTCCTTTCCAATTTCTTTGTGGATTTTCCGCATACAAGTGATCAGTGTTTCGTGATCGTCAATTGCATATATATATATATATATATATATATATATATATATATATATATATATATATATATATATATATATATATATATATATATATATATTAGTATATTAGTATATTAGTATATTTTGGTAGCAGTCTTTCTTGTAAACATATATTATTAAATATGACCGAAAAAGTAAGATTAATAATTCTAACACGAATTTTCTCAATATTTCTTATGTTTCTTTTCACTGTCGATGGTAATTGAAAAATCAGTTCTTCAAAATTCATTTTTATTTCTAGTCTGACACGACACTTGAACGCGCTTCGTAATTACTTATTACATTTTCAAAGACTTTAGTTTACACACATACACAACTATAACCTGCAAACACTAAACAGAGTTCTACTATACTATCATTTAAACAGCTTTCATCTTATATAGCCGCATTTGGGTGAGGTGATATGTTACAACAGCTTTGTATGAGATGAACAAAACTTTCAACACAAGATAGAGCAAACTTTCAACACAAGATAGAGCAAACTTTCAACACAAGATAGAGCAAACTTTCAACACAAGACAGAACACGGTGCAATGGGTATAAATTGGGTAAATTAAAGGGAAGAATGGAAGTAACTGCAAAGGGCCTATGAGCCCATATTTCTTGGTGCTTCTATATTGGTGCGGAGTCTTGAAGTGGGTAGAATATATTAATGCACAACTATATAGTCTATTTAACACAAGGGGCACACACACTAGGGGACACAGGTGGAAACTGAGTGCCCAAATGAGCCACAGAGATATTAGAAAGGACTTTTTTAGTGTCAGAGTGGTTGACAAATGGAATGCATTAGGAAGTGATGTGGTGGAGGCATTCACATTCACATCTCCATTCACAGTTTCAATTGTAGATATAATAGAGCCCAATAGGCTCAGGAACCTGTACACCTGTTGATTGGCGGTTGAGAGGCGGGACCAAAGAGCCAGAGCTCAACCCCCGCAAGCACAATTAGGTGAGAACACACACGCCTGCAGATAAAGTGTACTGAGGGTAAGGTCTTGGCTTATGTTTACCTACAATGATAAGAGAGAGTGAGAGATTGTATCTCACTTGGGAGATGGTAGGGGTAGATAGCGCCTGGTAGGGGGTAGATAGCACCTGGTAGGGGTAGATAGGGTCACCTCTCTTCTGGAAGAGTATGTACTTTGATCTGTAGACATGTTTACTTCTCAGCTCTTGTCCATTGCTTTTACCAGCAAACTCACTTGTTCTTACATCGTCTGTTTTAAATTTTGAGAATATTGAACTAAGGACAAGCGCAGGAACTCGATACTTGCCTTGATTCATTTTACTGTGGCTAAAATAACTATATTTGAATTCTTCAGAAAATTGTAAAGTTAATAACGAAATTATGAGAGAAGTAAGAGGAAGGACAAGGAGCCCAAGCTCGGTAACTCCATTTTCTTTTCATACAACGTCTGAAATACGTTTTAAATTGGTTTTAAAGTCAGCAAAAATTGGGCAGATAGTAGTGAAATACAAGAGCAAACTAAGGCGGAGGACAGGAGCTAAACCTTCTGTCATATTCAACGGTTTTAATGATAAAAAAGCGGAAAATCAATAAATTCCATAAAAACCACGTTTATAGTAACGAAAATACGCCTATAAACATTAAGAGGAGGGTCCAAGAACTAACATCCGACACTGATAAATAAATCACACATTCCTAATTACTATATCTTCCGAAAATGGTTCCCCGCAGACCACAGTTCTACACTAAAAGGCGGACCCCTTCGCCAGGACTTATTTTCGGTCCAACCACCGACCTTACATCCACCATAAAACGGGATACCCCTTAGCCAGGACTTTTTCCCTGACAAAAAGTCCTCGCTAAGGGGTCTGACCACCTACTGTGGCAGCCTGCACCTACCTGTAGTGCTGGTGGTATCAGGGGTGGTGGCAGCCTGCACCTACCTGTAGTACTGGTGGTGTCAGGGGTGGTGGCAGCCTGCACCTACCTGTAGTACTGGTGGTGTCAGGAGTGGTGGCAGCCTGCACCTACCTGTAGTACTGGTGGTGTCAGGGGTGGTGGCAGCCTGCACCTACCTGTAGTGCTGGTGGTGTCAGGAGTGGTGGCAGCCTGCACCTACCTGTAGTACTGGTGGTGGCAGCCTGCACCTACCTGTAGTACTGGTGGTGTCAGGGGTGGTGGCAGCCTGCACCTACCTGTAGTACTGGTGGTGTCAGGGGTGGTGGCAGCCTGCACCTACCTGTAGTACTGGTGGTGTCAGGGGTGGTGGCAGCCTGCACCTACCTGTAGTACTGGTGGTGTCAGGAGTGGTGGCAGCCTGCACCTACCTGTAGTACTGGTGGTGGCAGCCTGCACCAACCTGTAGTACTGGTGGTGTCAGGGGTGGTGGCAGCCTGCACCTACCTGTAGTACTGGTGGTGTCAGGGGTGGTGGCAGCCTGCACCTACCTGTAGTACTGGTGGTG